ATTTAAATGTTTTCTTTATTTTTTTCATGTTTGTATCACTTTTTTTAATTGTTATACATTTTTTTAAACTTTTTAAAATTTGTATTTATCTTATTTTCTTTTACTTTTTTTATCATTTATGTTATTATTTTTTACTTTTTAATTGTAATTATTATTTATTTTTTTATCATTTTTATTTATTTTATTATTTTTCACTTTTTATCAATTTTTTTTCACTTTATTGCTATCACACAGAAGCTAACAAGCCCCTGATTGATAGCATCCAATACAGGAGTTCAAGCATAGCACTATGCTGGCTCTCCTGTGACAGGGGAGATGGGACGGCTGCAAGTGCAGCTCTCCCATCTCAGTGTTCACATGGAGCAGAGTGGAGAACCCACGTCTCCGCTCTGCTCCACACTCTCCATTCTGAACTACTACTCAGTGGGGCCTGTAGGTACACAGCCTTTGAAACCCAAAGCAACACCCACCCCTCATTACCTCTTTGCATATAACATTCTCTTGTTTTTCTTGTCCTAAATTGGCTTTGACGATTGCAAATAAGCGTATGCAAGATGACTGTGTGTACTGATGAGTGGAAAACCATGTGTGCCTGTTGTGCCTAATTATGAAACTATCCTGGAAATAATTTTTGGTGCCTTAAAGTAGAACTGAAGCCAACAATTTGTATACGGTTCGGATAGAGTAATGGAGGGTTATAACCCCAGTTAGTTTTTTTTTGGCCATCTGTGCCTTATTGGAGAGATTTCCCTTAATTTCCTGTCTTGTAGAGACAACAAGAACTAAGAGGAAATCCCTTCAAAGAGATGGAAGTCTATGGTGGTCAGCAGGGTCACCAAAACTAGTGTCCCCACTGGAAGATTTCCCTTCTATTTCTGTTCTGATGCCAACTCAAAATTTGAGATTTTCTTTCACTTTCATTTTCTATGATAAGGGTCACCAGGACAAATAGGTAAGGGGGCAAGAGAGGAAGGGGTGTGTTATTCTCCCCACGGGATACAGACAGCAATACAAATCTGACAAGTGTTCTAACCCCTCTCCACTGTATCCAAAACTAAAAATATAGTTTTTGCTTCAGTTGCACTTTAATATGTGCATACAGATTCATCCAATCTGCAGAAGATCCTGCAATTCATAATCTAGACCATCGGAATTAATGAATTGCCCGATTCTCTGTAGACTAGACAAATCTGCATGCACCTGTTCAGAAGAATTGCAAAAATTTGTAAATTGCCAGAAAACATATGATACCTCAAATGTAGCTGATTCTCACATTGATTTGCTCCTCTCTAGTCCCATAATAACTGTAAATGAAGGCAAACACTTTCAGGTATGATGATCACCACACTGGCAACTGTGTTTTGTACTGAAAAAAGTATTGGAATGAACAATGTATAAACTTACTGTACATTGTGATAAAGAGGAGCTCCATGCTCCATATTGAAGAACTCCCTAATCATGAAGCTACACACACACACACACACACACACACACACACACACACACACACACACCAAGCAGTAGATGTAGAATGGAGGAAGACTAATGCTGTCACCATTCACAAAGAGAAGAAGGTTTGATTGTCAAGCTGTCCCCCTTCTGCCAGTCACAGTCAGGGAAGAATATTCACATGTTATGCTCCTAATTATGCACATATTCTCCAAATCTTGCTTGATGAGTGAATCAGCTACTTGCACTGTTACCATTCAATGAGGCTTATGTTTAGCAATACAAATATTAACATATGCAAATGTTCCCATCTGCAAAAGCCTGATCAATCACGCAAAAATACTCTGTAACAGATATTCACATACAGCAATCTTGGGAGACTGTTTATAATCTTTATGGATAGTAAGTTAGGGTGAGATGTAATTCCAAAAAAATAAGGCACATGAGTTTTTAGTAACGGTGCAGTCATTTCTAAATTTTGGTGCCAAAAAATAAGAGTAAGAATAACAAATGCCCCCTGACTGCCACTAACCTCTAACTTATTCCTGACAATAAAGCAGACCCTAAGGCTCTGTTTACAGCTATGCAATGCAAGAGCACTTGCGAAGCTGCATGCAATCCCACGTTGCTTGTTGTGATATAAGGTGCACTGCGGTGCCATTGTTTCTTAATGGCACCCCGATGCACAGGGCCGGATTTCCCACAAGGCCAACCTAGGCCCGGCCTTGGGGCAGCAGGGAGTAGAGGGGCAGCAGGGGTGTTGAATTCCTATTTCTCGACACCCGGGACATGCAGTTCCTGGCGAGTAGTTGTTTTCTACATTTAGCCCTGCTTTGGGCAAGCAGGGCTAAATGTACAGCAGGGAAGCTGCCACTTGTTTTGTGCAAGTGATCTCCGCGATGTCGCCGAGATCACTTGAATGCAGTCTGCCTACAGGGGGGCACCTTGAGGAACCAGGCATTGGGGCAGCAGAGAGAGTAAATGCGGCCCTGCCGATGTACCTAGCCATCACATGTATGTTCTACTGCACCACAACGCATGGTGACCTATTACCATGCAGTGTGGTGCTATATAATTTTTTAAAAAAGGTTGATGATTGCAGATAGATTGGTTGGTTGATTGATTGGCAGATAGAAACAATGTTCCAAAACAGAAGAAGTAAATATACTCACCGCACTAAGATGTGTGCAGTGTCTCTCTAGTCACAGCACTTATGTGGCTAATGTTGCAACACAGTAATAACGATGTTATTGGAGTAACTAGGACTATTCATAATAGCTGAATATCCTATTTTTTTTAAAATAGACCCCTAGGTATTAGTACTTGTTCACTTCTCTGCAACGCAACATGCTGCAGGATTCCTTCCCTACCGACTACCATGGTAGCCTAAGGTAGCTAAATTTCAATGAAAGAAGTGCAAGCACCTTTTTTTTTTAAATCGCAACACACCACATCGCATAGCAATAAGTTACCATGCCATGTGGTGCAATACAACACATGTGATGGCTAGATGCATTAATGAGGAAATTTTCCCTTATCTTCAAAATTACAACAAAGGCACCTTTAGAAATATTTAGTAATGACAATCTACAAACAGACACTTCTAGATAATTGCAGGATTCGTATTCTTTGTATTCCTCATTTTTCTTTTCCTCCCCATTATTCTCACTGTGGCCATGTTTACTAAGAACAAATTAATTTATATCCCTTTACTTCCTGGTATTCTGGCACATGTGACTAGGACATGTGACCTTGCACATCATCTGAGGGGGAAAATGCCTTTCCCTGAGATCTTGTGAGATTTTGCAGATTACAGATGAGATTTCCCAGCAATGCACTGCTGATGTAACCTTGGCAGACGGCATCTTTTAGGCTTGGGCTACATCACTAATACCTAAGTGGACCAGGAAGTGGAAAAACAGTAATTGCACGTAAAAGAAAAACTATGTTTATTTATCTATATTTATCTATATCTATGAATGTAAGAAGATTTCATATCAGCATGTAGAGCTGCATACTGCTGAGATTTTTAGCGAAAAGGTCCACTTTAAGAAACAATGGCTCCGTTTGGCACCTAATAGTGAGAGCAAGCTCCAGCTGTTTTATATTAATCGAAATCTTAAGAACATTCGATTCAGAAGAGATAATACCCTAGGAACATTTGATTTTACCCCTTTCATACAACAACTGGTTAACTTGCACAGAATGAATGAACATGCAGTTTCACTGGATGAATAGCTATGTGAATTTTATTTATAAATAGACTGCTTGTGCCCAAACTATGGATATTAATGTTTTTGCACATTCTAAACAAGCAGTAAAATAGCTTTAAAAAAACATTGTCACCTTACCAATCCATGTAAATATTTTGAAAGGCATAGTCTAGACACCTGTTCGCTTTAACTCTCTTCCTACATAAATGAAAGCATTTAAATTAACCTGGAAATGTGGTGAACAAACCTGATATTTAAATGAGATTTGCGCCTACCTTCTTAATTCACATCCTCCCCATTGCGCCTCTAAGCACACGAGAGCACGTTTCAGCCTCACATAGAAATATAAAAGTTCAGGTACTCGAACTCTGAAAGAAGTGGCTGAAGATAAATGACTCAATTTCTTAGCATAAAAGACCCAAGGTTTTTTGTTGTTTTTACAGAAAAAGATGTTTTTCTGAAAATTACTGGAGTTATAGGACACTTTATATAAAACCAAGCCTTAGTGAAGTTTCTCTTTAAAATAAATTGCAACATAGTCCTATTTAGAACAGGGGTTAACTGAGTATATTTGTATTCTACAGGAAACCTACATGACTGCAAGAAAAACACAGTGAAAATGGAGCCTAACTACAAAAAAAGAGCTACAGCAAAGATCATTTGATACTTTATTCTTGCATTGCCTCGTGTGATCATGTCAATGGCCAAAACACCTATCCATTATTTTAAATAGGGATGCACCGATACCGATACTAGTACCGGTATCAATGCAGATGCTGACTATTTGGGTGAGTACTCGTATTCGATCAAATGCTCCGATGCTTAGCCCAATACTTCTGGTATCAGGAGGCTGGGCAGCGAGTCATTACACGGCTCCTGGCTTCCTGATTGGCCAGAAATCCGGCTTCATGCTTTCTCGTCACCTGGTGATGAGAATCATTCATGGGAATAACTTCCCTGCTTATCAGGAAGCTAGGTGGCGAGTCATTACACGCCGCCTGGCTTCCTTAATGGGACATTTCCGATATCGGTATTCGGTATCGGCAAGTACACAAAAAAAAATATCGGTACTCGATACGAAATACCGGTATCGGTGCATCTTTCATATTAAATGTTGTAGTGAGTCCCAGTGAACCCTGATGGCAAACACCACTGATGAAAATGCAGGCACCCAACAGTTTAGAGATATGTTGAGAAGTTGGCACAGGTGTTCAAAATAATGAGGCTTTCTTTAACAGCTGGCCTGCTATGCATGTGAACATTTTCATAATGCACCTATAATAGAGAAATGATCATTGTATAATAGACAGACAACACAGTAAAATAACTATATCTTACACTGCCATCACTGCACGGTTTTAGCTCTTTCCAGAAGGTCTGCATCTGTGTCAAGTCTATCTTGTTCAGAGGGAGTGATACTTCTCCGATGGGATCATTGCGACTAAATCGATCGTAGTCCAAAACTTGTAGATACAGGACTCTCTGCACCACTTTTTCATATGGAAATCCTACAAGGTAAGAGAGGGATAGTGTAGTTTAAAAATCAACCAAATACTCATGTTCCCATTTAAATTGTTTTTCTTTTTCTTTTCTGCCACCCCACACTTCCTCTATGCTCAAGAATTGTGCATACCCTTCTAACAGGCCTACAGACAACAGTAAAAGCACATTTATGAAGACAGAATCTTGTTTCAACCCAATGGGACATTGAATCATTAGGGTCTAATGATAGGAACAATTTAGTTCCTTGCTATAACAGATCAGACCTTTTTGTTTGCATCCTTGTTATTATGTTAGACTCAGCCTGTATGTTCTTTATTATGTCTGATGGTTATTTGACCAATGTGACTTTAGTGTTACTTTTAATATTACTATACTAGCTTATGTTCCCTTTCAAGCAATAATACCATTTTCGGGGCAAGTTCCTTCTGTGCACAAAATAAAAGCACATTTATGTTTCACTTTAAAGGTGTGCTTACCAGAACCAAAGGTGATTGGAAATCAACCGAGCTGGAACACACACAGCAGCACAACCTGACAGAGGCCCTAATTCACCCTCACTTTATCTAAAACTAAAAAAAAGTTTTGTCTGGAATCATTATTGTTCTTTTGGCTAAATACTAGGTTAAATCATCCACCATGTCATCTCATTAAATCTCAAGGATTCTGGTTTGCTATCTTTGGTCTGCCAGCATGCCTGCAGCAGGAAGAAATTGAGTCCCTGGTGTGTGTGTGATGCAGAGTCGGGAATATAAGCCAGCAGACCTTATCCCTGGACTCACCAATACTGTAGATATGACATGGCAGTGAATGATATAACCTTCTACTGTCCAGCCAGCTTGAAATTTTTTGGGAGGAAAAAAACACCTTACCTAGTGAATTAACACAGTCAGTATAAAGACATTGCTAGGATGTCTAATTAGAATGCCCAGCATTCCTTCCAAACAGATGTTAAAAAGGACTTTCATTTAGAATGGCACCCCAATGCAAAACTACCCTAGATGCTAATAGAGCCGCACTGCAGCACACCACAACACACATGCTAAATTCTAAACAAGCAGTAAAATAGCTTTAAAAAAACATTGTCACCTTACCAATCCATGTAAATATTTTGAAAGGCATAGTCTAGACACCTGTTCGCTTTAACTCTCTTCCTACATAAATGAAAGCATTTAAATTAACCTGGAAATGTGGTGAACAAACCTGATATTTAAATGAGATTTGCGCCTACCTTCTTAATTCACATCCTCCCCATTGCGCCTCTAAGCACACGAGAGCACGTTTCAGCCTCACATAGAAATATAAAAGTTCAGGTACTCGAACTCTGAAAGAAGTGGCTGAAGATAAATGACTCAATTGTGCAACTTCAAAGTTGTACTGTGTTGTGATTAGAGTACTTCAGGTTTGTCAGCAGCTGGTTTAACAGCAACCCAAATTAGCTGCTGACGAGTCGGAAGTACTCCCATCACAACACAATGCAACTTTCAAGCTGCAGCGATTGTGATCCACATACATGATTTCTCCCATTAAGCCCTGATGAAAGAGGTGTGAAAGAGGCCATTTACATAAAAATGGAGAAGCCAAGCTTGAATAGAGGTGGGGGGTCTGCCACATACAATGCTGTTTTAACACCTCTCTCTGGGCAAGTTGTTAACACCTCCTAGCTCCAATTATGCAAATGCAATCAACACCTGGTTACGACTAACAGAATATGTGGATTGGAGCAACATTCACCATATTTATTCCCAGATAATTTTTGTACAAGTCATTCTGAATTGAGAAAGCTGGTTGGATGACCAGTGAAACGTCTTCAAGAAAAATACAGCAAGTCCAGTTGCCTTGACTTATTTGTTACAGATGTACCATGACGTGGATGAATGAGAAACTTCACAGACATACTGATGAAGGGAGTGTGTTTTGGTTTCCTGAAAAGCGTTGGCTACTCTAACTGGATGTCCACATAATCTTAATAGAATAAAGTTGTATCTGGACTATTTTAACTGCCATTTTGCTTCAATTTGCACATCTACTGAATTCACTGTCAAGCCAAAGATACCACTGAGATCTTTTGGATTGTCGAAGCTGCCTACCCATCATCCTTCCCTTCGTTAGCCGACAGAGCCACTCGGGGAAGGGGGGAGGAGTCCGGTGACGTCGATGTCCGTGACGTCACCGGATCTCCGACGGAAGACCCGGAAGCCGGCGGAGAGGTGAGTAATTTTGATCGATCAAAGAAATTAACGATTTATTGACGGCACACCAGAAAATATCTCACGGCACACTAGTGTGCCGCGGCACAGTGGTTGAAAAACACTGAGCTAGATCACCCGTATTCACATCAGTTGGATAAGAAACACAGAGACAATAACCACATTTGATGACAATGGCAGTGCAGAAAAACACAATTGTTGAAAAAAAAATGGAAAGGTTTGAATTCAGCCTAACACACAGCAACAACTCACAGATCAATGACAAAAACAAAAAGATTACTTCTGACTGACTATAAATCCAAATAAATAGGTCTTGCTGTTATCAATATCAGGCTAACTTTCTGTAGTAACAGAACATTGATGGATCTCACAAAGAGGATTATTACATTTAGTGTGAACATATCCAAATATATAGCTAATCTTATAGCACTGCCTTCTTTTGCATTCACAATTGAAATATTTCAGCTAAGTATACGCTTCAGTTAAAAATGTATGTGATCGGCCATTTCAGACTGGTTACAGGCATATGAAATTGACAGCATTGTATTTTAATGGGAATTATGCATGAATGTCTAAACACAGAGGGGGGAATTTATCAAAACTGAAGCATGAAGAACCTTGACCAGATGCCTGAGGTAACCAATCATCTTCTATCTTCAGTTTGTTCAGTTAAGCCTTGAAAATTAAGCTAGCAGCTGATTGGTTGCCACGGTGGGCTGCTCCAGATTCTGTCTGCTCCAGTTTTGATAAATTCCCCTCATAGTGTAGAAAGATTGGACAAAAAAAAAAGGAAAGGGTAGGGATATGTGCATTGTTTTGGAACTATTTAGGTAAATCCTCTACACAGATAATTCACAAATAACTAGCCATGAATGTGACAGGCTATTAGGCCTACTGTAGACAAATGGCATATGTCTCTTTCAGCTTTCAAAAAGTCTAACCTGTGTATACAGAAGCACCTGCATCTCACCAAAAATGATGAGCTCAATTCTATGCCAATGACAAATGGATACATTGCTAGAACAGACATATCAATCTATATTTAATTAGATACTTTCTAGAACTGGGTTTAACATTGCTAGATATCTTCCATTCATAAAGTCTGTGGCTGAGCAGGGGCTTGATAAAGTATATAAGATCCTCCTTGTCTCTGTGCATGATCTAACCCCTCAGGTATCATCGGACAGACACCAAAACAAGTCAAATGGTAAAGTGGAGTGGCTGTCAGTCGATTTGGATGCTCAGAAGTACAAACCAGGTCAGAACTACGATCTCTTCTCACTAAAATCACATATTTGTTTTTATATATATCACCACTTTGTAGTTAATACATGTTATTGATCTCTGCCTGTTTAATAACGTAATTATTTACTGTGTCTTCTAATGTAAGTATTTACTGTGTGCTCTTTTAAAAACATAGTTCAGTAAATTAGCTTCGTGCTAACATTTAAAAAAATTAAAATTAAAATTTAGAGTTTATATGAGACTTAATGCACAGTATTTGATTTAAGTTTAATGTTTTAATGACTAATGTTGAATAGCATATCCTCTAGAGAAAACTAAACATAAAATGCACTAGTAGAGGAACAAAAAACACAATATCAACACTTTTATGGAATATTATTGCATTATTTTTAAATGATTAGGGCTCATCTGAGACAAAAAATTAATTTATGGAGACCTGTGTCTCAGCACACCTACAACACCGCCCCCTCCCATGACTCTTTCCTAGTATATGATGCTAACCATCATAGGTACATAGTATTTAAGGTTGAATAAAGACTAATTGTGTGTATGTATAGGTCCCTGTGTGTTCTCATTCTTAAGAGTACTTGTACCCCTGTATATTACGGTCCCTGAGGAAATCGTCCAATCGCTTCTTGAATGATTCCACACTCTCAGTCGAAATCACAGCCTGTGGAAGCGAGTTCCAGACCCTGACTGATCTAACTGAGAAGAAACCCTTACACCCCTTGTGCTAAAATAGTTATTGGGAGGTGCAGGAAGCAAAGGGGAGTGGGTACGATCTCACCAAGATTTGCATAGCAACTAGGTTTCATGGCACCCATGTACTACATTGGGTAGGTGAAAACAAATACAGGTGCCTTTAGGTGCCTGCTTTTCATCATGCTGCACATTTAGAACTATTACATTGACCACAGGATCAAGTTAAGTTAGCCAAAGGCAGAGTATTGTAGGGCATTTAGGTACAATCTGACCATCAGTCTTTATATGTGTAAACTATACCGTAAGGATACACACTTAGTGCACCTACTTGTGTCAAAGAAGGCACAACATGGCCAGACACATCTCGTGCTGGGTTACTTCTGGAGAAAAAATATAGTGACTGTATTTATGAATGAGATTGGTGATTTAGCTAAAATTGTCTGGCTTATGTGACAACCATCTCACCTTCATAGTTTACTTCGCCTTTTCTATATTGTTGAAGGTGGAAAAATTCCCTTCAGAACTGCAAACTTTCCATAACCCACTATTAGGGTTTTTTCTGCATTAGTATTTGTAGTGTTGAGAGAGAGAGAGAGAGAGAGAGAGAGAGAGAGAGAGAGAGAGTGCCAATATCAAGAACCCATTCTTTCTGGATTTGCATATATCCTGGAAATCCTGTTCAATAGGGATATCATCATGCACCAGATATAACGGAAAGCTAAGTGATTTTTAAAATATTCCCATTTGCAGAGAGACTTTCATATTTTCTAGGAAAGGGTAGATAGTGTGTATGTATGCATATGTATGCATATTTTGAGCACTTCATATATTTTGTATTGTTTACCTGTAACTATAGTTTGTATATGTAGCATTCTTGATTAGTAAAAGCACTAAGTTTATACTGGGTGGCTTCCTTGCTTTAATGAATTAGAAAAACAGTGAAAAAGAAAAATGCAAAATAATTGCCTTTGAGAATGAAAGCGGAGAGGCAGGAGTCCATTAACAGTAATGCCATATAGACTCTTCATACATAATTTCACCACAGAAAAGACCCATTGAAGGGCTAAAACCGCTAGGGCAGAACGCCTTTATCTATGCTCCCCTTGCCTTCTCACCCTCGAAGAGGAAGGTCTCGTTCCAATGTGGGTTGAGGTTTTTCCTCTTCACCTTGGTCTCCAGCTTGTTCTTCTTGTCAGGCAGCAGATATATCTTGACAAATGGATCACTGGTCCCACTGAAGTCCTTAGCTGGCAATTCCTGAGCTTTCATGATTTTAACAGTAAGAGTGGATTCCTGGAAGTTGTAGCCCACACTAAACTGAATGCGCCCAAGAGTTTCTCGTCCTGATGTGTCATGTCCATCTTCGTCATCTGAACCAGGAGACAGCTGCCAGGAGGAAAAACAAACAGACCATAAATGCTCTATGATGGTAACAGTTTAGTTGCACATGCTAAAAAGGAACGGTTGCTTTTCAGTAGATAATGCTGACATGTTATGAACATTTTAGCTTTTTTTCAGCGAGAATCTTCATGCTCAAACTCTTATTTCAACGATAAGTACACCTTTTTACAGTAGATCTCCATACATATTAAAACAATAATTAGTTAAATTATATATTTATAATATTAAATCATATAAATGTAAATATCAAATAGATGTATCTTTAAATGCAACTAGTGTTAGTATCACAAACTGGCTTGATATCAGCCTCCTGCAATCTTCTGTAACACAGTGCTTAGTGTTGGAGAGGACGGATCAGCCCAGGGAGCCATTTAGGTTCGGCAGATGTACTGTCCATGAACATTCTAACAGAAGGAAAGAGAAGGACCAGCGGGGGGAATGACCTCATCAGTATGCTGCTTCTTAATTGTCCAAACAATTTTAGTTCTATTGAGTTCTATTGTGTTCTATAGTTCTATAGTGCTGTAACTACACTGGAGGTCTTAGACATGGTTGTATTGTCTGGCAGGGAATGTATGCATGTATTTATACAGTTGGCCTGAAGTTCACCCTTAGCTGCACTCCATGAATGCAGAAGTCTACTGTGTAACTTTGTAAAAAGTGCCAATAAAAGGAGGATCCCTGAGTTGGCCAGGCCATGTAATCTTTCACTTCCACCCATCACCAGTATGTGATTATGACTGCAAAGTTGATGTGAAGTGTGGAGTTAATGAAGTGCATCTAAAGGTCAACTTATCCTTTAGGTCCTGATCCCTATTACCTTGGCACCATGGAGTATAAGCTCTACATGAGTAATGTGTGACTAACGCTAACATTCTGAAAAAAACTCTTGCCAAGGGAGAAGAATGCTGAGGGAGGAGAGTAGAAGGAAAGACAAAGAAAGGTACAACCAAAGTGATAATGTTAACGTCACTTTTATTTTCCAGGTTCTCTCTATTCCCAACAAGCCAAAATGTCTTTTTTATTTTTGGATAAAGTGGAAAATTGATCTTTTTTTGGTGTCTGTGTCACATCAGGAAGATTTTCCTTCACTTTCTCTCCAAGAGACACAAAAGGAAGTAGGATATCTCTCCAAAGTGAGGGAATACACATTCTTAGACAAACGTCACCAGAATAGGTGACAATAAGTGAAAGAGATTTCCCCTCACCTCCTGTTTTAGTGACTCAAAACGAAAAAAATCTTGTATTTCCCTTTGCTTTTTGTCCCAGTTACAACGCCACCCAGAAACAATAGTGAGGTTGAATCTCCCCGGCAGGGAAATAGTCAGCAATAAAAAGCCGAGTGTTCCAACCTATCCACATTCCATCAAACAAAAAAAGTTTGGACTTTACATACACTTCAGAGTTAAGGCAACTAAAGACTGCGTTGAGTACAACCTTAGCTATGAACAGAAAAAGAGGGTGGTAGATGCTCCAAATTATTATTTCCCCTCCATACAAAAACTAAAGTATAAAAAATAATACTCATAGGAAAACAAACATACTACGGCTACCTAATATCTGACTTTACGTCTGTAGTTATAATGGCAATAAAAAGGTTAATGTGTAAGACCAGTGAAAATGGTATAGGCTAAAATGTCTCACACCTTGTGCTAACATCTAATACACGCTGCACACTTGCCAGTAGCAACGTGAGTGAAATATCAAGAAGTGTTAATAAAAATGAATGCAAGTATAAATAGCTCTTGTTAAAGTATCTTTACAGCTGAACTTTTTTTTTTTTTCCATTTCGGATAGAGTGGGGAAGAATTATAAGTTTTGTCAGGTGTTTACTACATCAGAGGCTCCATTGGAGAGATTTCTTAACTCCTAACACAGACAGAAACAAGTATGCATTTTTAGGTTAGGTAGGGGAATGCTAGAACCTCTGTAAGCTTTTTATTGTTGTTTGTTTCCCTCACTTTCTATCTGGGAAAACATTGTCCTGAACCAGAACGTGAGACAAAATCTCTCTAGCAAAGCCCCAATAACCCCAATGACCTGGGTTTTATCTTTTCCCCATTCTGTCCAAAACGAAAAAAATTTTGGGTATAGATACATGTTAACGATAGCTTCTTACAAAAAGAGTAGACTATGAAATTCCAAATTCTTATGATATATTGCTTATGATTGCTTATAAATTCTTCTGATATATTGGTTTTGAGTTACAAGCAATAACATAAACCCTGTGAGTTCTCACTTTGTACATCACTGTAGAAGATGGTGAAGCTATAGAAAAGGAAGAGGAGAAGTAAGAAATAGTAATCAAAATTTGTTTCATTGTAACCTGTCAAGAAATCAATGAAGGATTTATGAGTACCTTCCGGGGATGTTACACTAGATATAAAGATATACGTAGAGAGATCATTTTTAAAAGCTAAGTCCGAAGATCACCAGTGATTTTAACATCATAAAGCAAAAGATAAGCAATTCCAAGGCTCTGGAATGACCCCCCAAAGCTAAAGCAATGGATCACTACACAAAAAGCTATACATAGATGTGGTTAACCACCACCATTGGATTGCCTTATGACTGCAACTCTTTTGATACGACACCATTGTTATCATTATATTGTATTCCAAAATCAGTTGCTGTCAAATTTTGGTGGTGCAGTTGGCTGAATAAAAATGTGCCCATGTAGCTGAGCATATGGCTAGACCACTGGAAAAGGTAAAATATATAAGGTGAAATTTATAAGTCTAGCGTTAAAACCTTTTTTGAAACATTAGCTCTGTGTCTGGAGTTCAATCAACAACTAATTCAAATAATATTTCTGATTGTGCTAATAAATGGTAAACTCTGGCAGTTGTTGATTGCTGATATCATCATTGCTCTTTGAACTATTGAAGTCCTTGGTTGTAAATGAAAACATGTTCTATTGGCACGCATTGGCAAAAAACCCAACAGAACAAAGCAAGTGAATTATGGGATTACAGGCAGAAGTAAAGCTTGTGCATGTTCATGCATGAAAACACTTGTTCAAGTGCATCAATCCATGTAAACAAATGCATATGAAAGGCAATAAAAATATGTTCAACATATGCACATGAATCAAGCCTCTGTGTGGCAATCCTTAAAGCTGAACTCCAGGCAAATATCTAAATATATAGATTAAATACATATAAGGGAGCTCTTTTACTTGCTAAGGATTTGTATTTCTGTTCATCCAATCCCAAGGTGTACATAACTCTACATATAGCACAACCCTGTCTGGTAGGGAAGAAGAATGACAAAAAAGGAGAGTGCCCACTCCATGTGAAGGATCGTTTAATAATTTGCTTTTAAAAAATGGTAATGCACTCACAAGAGAAAAGTAACACAAGCAAATTCAATGGTCCCCCTCACAGGAGGCTATCAGAAGCCACAGCGCAGCCAAGTCAGCTCACCACCGAAGTCGTCTTCCAACAGCGAGTGGCAGGGTTCACGCGTTTCTGGGGCACGCCCCCTTCCTCAGAACCCTTCTATTAGCATGCTCCTTTGTAATTGCATGAGCACTGCAGCACAACATTAGATTGACAGCCGTCAGGACAAGAATCTCTTACATTGATTTCTAGGGCAGAACGTACCTTACATTAATAGTCATTGGGTAGGATGTTCCTTACATTGGTGGTCAGTGTAGTGCCACCTTAGATTGAGGGTCAAGGAGAAGAGTTCCGACTTACTTTATTGTATAGTGTAAAAGCACATTGGTTTCATATGGCAGAAGGGCCCCTTACTTAGATTGTTAGTGGGAAAAATGATCCTCACATTGGTGGTTATTGGGATGAATGTTCTTTATATTGGTAGTCAGTGAACTGCTTTTTTATACTGATGGTCAGTTGAGAAAAGCCCGCTTATATTGGTGTTCAGTGTAAAAGTACCACTTACCAATAACATTAGTGGTAGCTGGAGAAGGGGATACCCCTAACAGGGTATCAGGGTAAGGGGATACCCTTACACTTGTGTTCAGTGGGAGAAGGGCCTCTTGCTTTGGTTGTTGGTGGACAGAATGCTCCTTACATTGGTGGTCATTGGGAAGAATGCCCCTCTTACAGACAGTTTAAAGTATCAATGGTGTCAGTGGATAGAAGAGTCCCCACACCACTGCTAAATGACAGAGCCAGAACTATACAGGCACCACCAGGAACAAAGATCAATCTATCACTGCTCAAGACCAACTAGAGAATGTGAGGTACCCAACTAGAGAATGGCTGTTGGACCAGCTGCTGACAAGACCTGTGTCTGATATCAAGCTGATCAAAATATCATTTACATTCTACCCTCAAGTCAGTTCATATACATTGTTTCCTATTGCAAGCCCTGATAAGTGGGTTGCTTTGGACCCCCAAAACACATTGTCTTTCTCTGATTTTCCATCTGACTCAATACTGGAATAAAACTGTATCTAGACTAGTAATCACTGGTGTGGCACATCAATCCTATACCTGCTGTTTTACACTACGAACAAAAGGAAACTGCAAGAATCCTCTGGGCTGTGTAAGCTGCCAACCCAGTAGCCAGAAAACCTATACCAATGCTATTATATTACTATTGGGGAGCAACAGCAATAGGACAACCCAGGTTGTATACTATACCATAGTGGGAGGTATGCAGAAAAATCTCTTTGCCTTTTAAACTTTATTCATTCTAAATCTATTCAGCTCTCAAATATCTGCTCATTTATCATTGTAATAGCTGGTACACTTTTTATTTTTTATTTTCTTGTACTTGTAATATCAGACTATAAAGCAACCCACCATTGTAATGCCAAGTTTCACTTGTAAAGGTAAAGGAATGTGACAACAATAAATACAATATAAATAGCCAATCTTTCTCCACCCCAGGATGTCATATAAAATGTATTTCTGCATTGTTCCTCAGGACAAACGCTGTGCAAATTTCAGTGGATACACAAACCACTGTGTACTGCCTCTATCAGGAGTATCTGTTCTTGCCATTGTGTTCCT